CGCTTAGTCTCCAGCTCTTCTGGCATCTTTGTTTCTCTTATCTGATCATGTCCCAGTGAGGAGAAATAGGAATGAGAATTTTGCCTCTGCTCTTCTGTGTTGCATCCTTTTGTAGTCTCTCCTGACACTACATGATGACTGGTTCAAGCATCTGTATGCATTTGAATACTAACATTTGTTCATCAGAAGATCTCAACTATGCCAGATAAAAATGAAATGAGATGATTATTTAGATAGGTAATTTATATAGTTGGCTCTTCCTTTTCTGTATTGTAGTAAAATGAGAGTCTGACATCATTTGCAAAGCATTTTTGTTGTTTTCATCTGAGGAATTTATTTAGTGGTTAGCTAGACACAGATGCATCTACTTCTGTTATATCATTTAGCAAGGTCTGATTCCAAATGGGGTGTCTCTGTGTATGGCATAATATATGGAAATACAATTATGTATCTTTAATTGACTTGAATAACTCTCTCCTGCAATAACAACTGATTGTTGATGTAGATGAAAAATGATGTATTGTTTTATAATTGTATTATAATGCATTTTTCCCCTTGAATTTTTCAGTTTGTTATAATTCTACAGGTAATTGAGGCATAACATTCTTTTCTTGGTGTTCTCATAACAGTCCTATGAGTGGGTTAGTTTGAGAGATAACAGTAATTACCGCACAGAATAACTTGATGCCACGGTTGTGTTGAGATTTGAACCCACTCATGGTCAAAATTCAGCATTTGGTGCTATTGATAGTTGTCTTCATTCTTATTTTCTCTGGTACATATATGTAACTTAAACTACATATATGGATAAAGTATTAATTTTGTAAGCTGGTAATTTTTTGTGAACACTTATAACAATATGCAAATGGATAAATGTTGGTACTGTATGTTCACATTCCCTGAAGAATTAGCTATTATGAACTCTCTCCAATTTTCTATCCTGGATATATGCTGGATTATAAGACTCACTATTTCTTGATTATCGTATACAGAATACCTGTATGTGTTGTTATCAGCTGTCATATCTCTGCAGGCATTAAATTCTTTTCTGGAATACTGTCACTGTATCAAAAGATATAAGGAAGTACCTGCAATGATTATTTCTGGTTTGCTGGATTGTGTAACATGTGAAAAATAAAAAAGAAACATTTCATTGCAAAATGCACAAATTAGCTCTCCCTCCTCAGGCAGACGAGAACTACAAATTAGTCCAATGGGATTTTTTAAGGGAGGCTATTGCTCAGAAAAATGAAATATTTACAAACTTTTCTAGATGAGACTAGTCTCAGTTGGTTCCATGTTCCCAGTAGATTTCCATGCTCCCATTTTAAAACAGTGTGTTTTACCAACAATGCAGGTATGACTATTCGTTCTGATCTTCAGTTACCTGCAATCTGGATGAAAGAGGTTGCAGTGTACTTCAGACAGGACTCATTTCAGCCAGACAGTAGGGGGGGGGGAAAAAAAAGAGAAACATAATTTTTCTCTTGCATAAATTCCATGCTCACAGGCATGTACTTTCTCCAGTCTTTTTCTCACCCCATGCCCATACTTTCAGTCCTCTAATGACTAGACTATATACTCTCTCAATTCCTGCATCAGACCGTGTCTTTTTGTTTCCTCTTTAAGACACATGCTTTCTCTTAGGTTTTGGGGTTTGCTATGTCCTAAGTCATTTCTAGTTAGGACTGAAGCTAAAATATGTGACAGTCCATTTATTCAAATTTGTACGTTATCATTTGCTGCTTCCTTGCTCCTTTGTTTCCTTTTATATCCCCTTGCCAAAATGTCATTTATAACTTCTTTCTGACTGGGATTTGTTTTATTATTTACATATTAAATTTGTTTCCTGCCCATCTTGCTGCAAGGTGACTCTGAGCGGCTTACAACATCAAAATAAAACCTTAAGTATATATGCCAACACATAAAATCACAATAAAGTCACAATGAAAATACAGAGTACAACTAAGACTAAAAGATGGGGAGGAAAGGAAGCAAAATGTATTTCTATTGATGATGTTTTGGCCTTGCAAGCCCCACATGAATTGTTGCTATACATAAACAACAGTCAGGTAACAATCAATAACCGTGGTTCAATGTCAAACATGTTTTTTATTGCAACTCATTGTGTCATGTTCGGAAATCCTCAATGCAAGTAGAAGAATTTGTTTTATCAGTCAATTTTCAAAGTTACTTATTCTAATAGTGTCTTCAGTGGAAGATATTAGAAGACAATGGAAAATCAGATCTATATTGTTCCCACAAAAGTAATGCTAATGTATCCATGAGGTTACCAGGTATGGAGAAAAATGGCATCTTTACCTAATACCATATTTAAAAAAAAACCCTCTCAATATAAAAGAAGTACTGCTGGATTTTACCAAAGTAAATCTTATTCTAAACCCTGTTTCTTAGAGGCCAGTGATATTCAGCCTTCTGCTATTATTGATCTCAGTGCTGGTACTCAAATACTGTAGTTAACTCTCATGAGAGAGGTACCCCATCGTCTCACAGATAAGCATCCCACTGTCTTTTCTGCTGTTATAGTCATCTTGTGGTGATGGATTTACGTAAACCAGTCCTGCAAACCACTTATTATACTCTCTTTCTAAAAATTGGGATGTACTGTACATCCAGTTAGTTTTACCGAGCAACTCCAGATTGTTCCTTTTTCTTGCATAGCCTTTAATTGCAATAACTGGACTTATTTTAAAGGGAAGAGCATATCTTGTTAGCTTAAATGTTAACATTTATTTCGACCTTATTTTTGTTTATATTTTACATACCATTTGGGGGGAAGGTAGGGTTTCGCTCAATGTCCATTTCTATTAAAAACTATTTTGTTCACGTGTTTTTTAGATATATCTGTCTACATTTACATTCTGATATTGATATATTTTAAAATGAATATTTTAAAGTGTTATTGGCTTTGATTCTACATAACAAAGATTATGCTCTGAATGTTAGAGTTGCTTTAATTTGCTATATATGCATTGGCCATTTGGATGTTGTGCATGTTTAGAACAAGTATTTGTCCTAACTTTGCTTCTTTTTCCTCCTAAAAAATTTCTGTATAAGAAATTGTGAGTATGCACTTATGCTCATTCTGAACTTGGCAAGATGAATTTATGAGCCGCGGTGGCACAGTGGTTTCAGTGCAGGCTACTTCTGCTGCCTGCTGGCTGCCTGCAATTTGGCAGTTCAAATCTCACCAGGCTCAAGGTTGATTCAGCCTTCCGTCCTTCCGAGGTCAGTAAAATGAGGACCCAGATTGTTGGGGGCAATAGGCTCACTCTGTAAATTACTTAGAGAGGGCTGTAAAGCACTGTGAAGCGGTAAATAAGTCTAAATGCTATTGCTATTTTATGCTGCCTTGCTCAACCTGCCGTTCCAACCCAAGCATGCAGCATTTGGAGGACCTCAGGCTGGGAAAGCTGACCCAAAATCTAGAGCCTATGAATTGTTGAGCTTTCCTCGTTTTTAGCTTTTTGACCCTGGTTGTTTATTAGAATCCTGTATCACGCTAACCTCCCCTCCCATCTGATTACCGATATAGCCTTTTGTATAATATATACAAATTGGTTTCTATAAGTTGTTGGAAGTTCTGTATGTTGATATTCATGGATCAAGTTATTTTTCTTCCCATTTCCCTAGGCCAAAATAGTAGGTGATGATTTAGTCAGTACTGATTTGAGTATTTGAAATTGCATATTTCAAGAGTTTTGCTTCCTCCTGAAATCCAGTCTAACTAGCTTTCTTGTGACCTTCTAAAACTACCTATTGCTGTGCATATTTTCATTTTATAGACTAGAGGTGAGGAGCATTCCCTTATCTTTGACTGGCTTTTATATAAAAAAAAAAAGGCATTTCATAGACTATCCAGAAGACAGAACAACCTTTCCTTTCGGGACAGAAGCTTGTGTGCCTGTCTGACTATCACTTCAGGTTTCACTGACTGAAATGCTTCCCCCAAGTAAAACTGTGCTCTTCATCTCCTCAATTATGAGGGAGATATTAAACTAATCCTCAAGAGATGCAAAGTAAAATAAATCTTAGGGTTTAGGCGATAATATTATAATACTCAGAATGACCCCAGAATATTGACTATTAGGGAAAACTATAATAAAAAACTGGTTTGGGAAAAGGAGCAACTGACTAACTAAAACAGGGAGCAAAAAGCAGTTTACATTGCAAAGTTTTAGATTCAATTTGTTCCCCTATATCAGGAATAGATAAATCCATGGGCTTCTGGCAGCCCATACTATTTTACTCTGTGTTACTTCCAAAGACATCAATCTTGTGCTGCTGAAATATGAAGGCACATTTTTGCTTAAAAACAAAAACAAATAAGGAACACATTAAATCTCTAGTAGGGGTTAATGCACCTATTTTAATAAAACAACATTACATCTAAAATTCTTTTTAAGGGAAACATGAAAATTTCAATTTGTGTCAGAGGGAACAATCAATTTTCTTCTGGCAAAACACACATTTTTATTCGCATTGTAGTCTGAGTACACATTTTGTTGTTTTTATTTAGCTTAGATCAAGAATATACCACACAGTATTTGGAGAAATACAAAAACTCGAATGAGAATATTCCTGGAAGTATGAATTGGGTCGACTTACTTAACAGTGAGAATGAAATGAAATTTTTAACCATCTCTGCTGTAGAATTGAGCCTCTTCTACATTTCTCTTTCTGGAGATTTTTCCCTTTGCTGATTTGTGAGAATGGGAGAGAGTCTTCCATCAGCCATATTGATTTCATCTTTTTGTGATGAATGCTTAAGCCACTGCTTATACCAAGTAATTGGATTATTGTTTCTCTGGAATCTTTCACATCTGTAAATATGTTATTCTTTTCTTTCATGCCTAGATTTATCTCCCCCCTCCCCTTTGAAAATAAATAAGAAACATGAATATGAAGCTAGCTACTGGACCACCTGTCTATTTTATTACTTATTTATTTTTTAACATCAAGTGGTTTTTCTCTTTCAGTTGTGAAAGCTGCGTGGAGCTGCTGTTTGTTCGGGGATCTGGGAATTGCCAAGAGTGTGATACCCCTTTGCGGAAGAGCAACTTCAGAGTACAACTCTTTGAGGATCCAGCTGTTGACAAGGAGGTGGAAATCCGTAAGAAGGTGCTGAAAATGTAAGTATCATTTAAGACAAGCCACCTCTTTTTTTTGTTTGTGCTTCCAAATTCATTTTAGCTATGTTTGTGAAAAGGCTTCATTTAAAATATTTGCAAAATATTCTTATCTTGGATCTCAATATATTGCTCAGGAAGGTATTTTTTCTGGTTTCTAAGGGCAGAGCAATGCAAAGAAACAAACAAACACACCTGATTTATGCATAAATATTGTTCCATATGTCAATATTTCAGGAAGGAAACTTCAATTCTTTCTCTTAATTCTGATGTGTTGGGAGTTTTAATGCTTGATTGTTAACATGGATGTATTTAAATTTGTGTTTACCAAGCATTTATATAGCATTTTAAAAATGTAATTTGTACAGCATAAATATAATTTGAATGGCATAAATATAGTGTTGTGACTATACATCTGCAAATTTTAAATGCATATATATGCACAATGTTTTTAATAGAAGAAATAATATTTAGAAATTCACTTTCTTTTTATCTGTCTGGTCTCATTTCTTCATATGCTTTCCTTCTTCCCTTCCTTTGATCATACTTAGATGATAAGCTGTTTGCAGAGTTAGCCTGAAATACTGCATTCTAACAATGGCGTCACCATGGCTCTCTATAAAACTATGTAAAACCTATACACAATATAAATAAAATACTATAAAATATAAATACTCAACCCCAACTAAAAGGTGCGGAAGGAGGGAGTAGGATGAGCAGGGGGAAGGTGGAGTCTGTTATTAATCTTTCCACCATCCCTCTGGTGGAAAGTCAGGATGGTTGGAGACAACCTCACTCTGGGGCAGGGCAACATGTTCTAAATGGCAGGAGCAAGAACAGAGAAGGTTCTTCTCCTAGACCCTGCCGCTGGAATATTCTGGCTGAAGCCTCCTCTGTGGACTCGGGTGCCCATGCCAGTCCCTTTGGGATGAAACAATCCCACCACAGGAGCCATGATTCCATAGTGGTTAGAGTATAGTATTGCAGGTTAATTCTGCCAGTTGCCAGCAGTTTGATTCTCACCGGTTTAAGGTTGGCTCAACCTTCCATCCTTCTGAGTTTAGTAAAATGAAGACCCAGATTGTTGGGGGTAATATGCCGACTCTGTAAACCACTTAGAGAGGGCTGTAAAGCACTATGAAACGATATATAAGTAAGTGCTATTGCTGTTGCTATTATGTGGCATTAATCCAAAGTTAATTTTCTGAGCATAAAAACTAGCAAGAATGGTATTTTTACTTTTTTTCCTTATTGCTCTTTAGCTATAAAAGTTACCATAACTATTTACAAATATGACCCATTACCTGGCCTCAGGCTTATATTATCTTGTTCAAGACGGATCGCCTTTACATGAAATGAGAAACTTAATTGAGATTATAGTTTTCTTAGATCTTTAGATCCTTTATCCATTTGTCATTGCTCTATTCTGTTGACTTTGGGTAAGCATTTTTATTAGCTGCTGACTCACTCAAAGTTCAGAAAAGATCAGTTTAGATAAAGTCTGAGTGCTTGGCTTCTCAGAAAGGATGAAGAAAGAATGTCAGAAGTTTATATTTTTGAATGCCCAGATGTAATCCTATTCTGTTTTTTTCGTATGTCTCTTTGCAAAGATACAATAAAAGAGAGGATGACTTCCCCAACTTAGCAGAATACAATGATTTCTTGGAAGAAGTGGAAGAAATTGGTAAGTTCTAATGCGTGCATATTAGATGCCCTGCATGCTTTTATATTTCCTGCCAGCCTCATTGAACGTTAAAGCTGAGCCTCTCTTCACTGATCTTTATTGGAGTACTTGATGATTGGCTAATTACTTTCTCTTTGCATTTTTAATCAAGAGCTCTTCAATTCGAGGGATGTATCTGGGTAATAAATGTAGTCATAGTAGGGATGGGTTGTGGTATGGTGGGAAACATGTACCACAAATGTGGTTATAAAAATGCTTTGTTAGGTTATTGCTGGGACTGCAAAAGAAAAACTCCCGCAAAGAAAAGGGTAAAGGAGAACCATTCAGTTCTTAATCTTGGCTTCCATTTGCCTTTATTCACCATGACAGTAGCCATATGTACCCCTCTAATCCTCTTGCTGCTTTAAGTACAATAGCTGGGAGGGTTTGAAACATTTGACCTTGTATACCATTTTGGCAATGTGTTTATGGGGCTAATGCAAAAGGACAGAAGTTAAAGTGCAAGATGAAATCTCTTTTTTCCCCTCTTCCTTTGTTGGATATCAGGCCTACAGATGCTATGGCTTGGGGCCTGTCCTGTTTTGATGGCAGTTGTAACACAACATTCTCATTGGGGAATGTTGACCTAACGGATTGGGTGGGAAATAGGATCTTTCTTGCATTGGAGACCAAGGCGTGTTAATAGGGGAGAGATGTATGTGCTCTTTGAGGTCTTGTTAATATTTAATGCCTTCCCTCTATTTATGGCTATACTCCAGTGAGCTTTTAGTCTGCATATTTCAATCAAATCTCCTTCTCTTTACTCTGCACAGCAGTTATCTGAGTATAGGTGGCAAGATAAGTATGACCTTTGGGGCCTTGTGCCCCCAAACCTTTCCCTCTAAGAAATCCCCAGATCTATTAGCTCTTGCTTTGCTAGCTGGGCATTAAAGTTTGCTGTTGGTTTTGTGTGGTAATTTTACTCGTTCAATTTTCACTTTCTGTTTCTGCCCCTGCTCTTAACTATATCATAGAAAGAAGTCAAGTGGGTGATAGTAAGCAAATTAATGTGAGTACAAATTGTCTGACAAGGTTGGTGACTTACAGTGCCACTGTTATTTATTTTACTCTCAATAGTCCTGTTTCTCATTGTATTCAAAAAATAATCAAGCTGTCATATGTTTCTGTGTTCAGTCGCTCAAGCCCTGGTCATGTGTTGCTTGGGCTACTGCAATGTACTGTACATGGGGCTACCCTTGAAGAATATCCAGATGTTGCAGTGGGCACAGAATGCAGGCATGAGAACAGTTCTTGGAGTCTCTAAGGTAGCCCATGTTACACTGCTATTCCACGAGCTGGTTGCCAGTTTCTGGGTCCAATTCAAGGGGCTGATTATCATCTTTAAGGCCCTTCATAGCATGGGTCCAGGTTACCAGGTTAGATGGGTTAGCTGCGTTGGCAGTAGGGGCATGCTGCAGACTCCATCGGTCAAGGAATTCCAGCTGGTGGGGCCCAAGGGAAGAGCCTTTTCAGATGTGGCTCCTGCCCTTTGGAACATTATATCCTTTGTGGTGAAATCTGCCCCCACCCTTTCGATCTTCCGAAAGGGCCTGAAGACCTGGTTCTGCCAATTGGCCTGGGACCCCAATGGGGATGCGTCATTCTGGAGGTAGTTAATGGAGTGGATAAGACCCCACCTCTTCCCCACCCCCTCTATGCATCATGCTCCATTCCTAAAATTAAAGTTAATTTTAAACTAATGTTATTTATTGTTTTAATTTTTAATATTTGTTCTTAATGATTGTAAGCTTCCTAGAGTCACCTCCAGACTAGATGGGTGGAATATACATCGAAATAAAATAAAATAAAATAAATAAATAAATACGCAAGCATTTACTGATCATTATTGGACATGAGTGCTGACACAGGTGAAGCAAAGCTGATATCGGGCATGATCAGGCAGGAAAGTGAGCTAACAAGAAGCAAGTACAAATGTCATTTTGATCAAAAGTTAAGCCATTCCAATTCTGAAGAGCCAATTCAGACTGAGAAAACTTATACAGTGAGATGAAGTCCAATTATTCTTTTTGTCACCCAGTCTTTGTGGGTGACAAGCAGTAGTTCTTTCTGGCCATTTCTGGATCCAGGGGTGCCAAAGAGCTTGAACAAAAGGCCAGCAGCTCCCTCTTCTGGTGAGGTAGCACACTGAGTGAGGTAGATGGGCCTGAGCACTCAGCTCTCTGGTTGGAGATTTATGCCGCAGCTGAATTGGATTTTTTTCCCCAGCATTAGAAATTTGACTAGTTATTGTGCTATGTGGTTTTGAATGCATGCGTGCACACCTTTCTCATGCCCACAGCCTTACAAGCTAAACTGGAATTTACTTCTTTTGATTTTTGACTTTTTTTCAGATTTGAAAGTGGTTTTAAAAACAATGTGCTTTGTGCTGTATGTTAACATCTTAAAGGCAGGCCAACATGTAAAAGAATGAGAAAGAGAGATGGACAAAAGTACACTTGTCTACCTCCTTTTTCCTTTCTCCTCCAGATTGTGAAGGCCTAAGATAGGTTTATTTGGAAATGTATGTTGTGCTCACATAAGAAAGACTCTTCTAAATTGTCTGCATAACAGCCCTCTGTACTAATGCTAACCTGAGAAATTTGCTTCCCGAAATAGAGAAACAAATGGGCCCTCACAGTCCACTGCATTATATCCTCTCTCAGCTTGGCAAATGGGCATTCTGGGAATTGCAGTCCTAGCCTAACTGGAGGTGCTAAGTTGCGAATAGGTGCCATATGGGTGTTCAAAGCTAGTTATGTTAATGACCACTGAGGACATTCCATAGATGCTGTTCCCTGATAAAAAGTTAATTTATAGTATTCATTCATTCACTCATTCACTCATACATTCTATTTTGTGCCTTATTTTTCCATTTCTAGATAACTCATAACTCATAAACAAAATACAATATTGTTCACCAGTTATAGGAAGTTATTATTATATTAACAGTATTTTTATTTGGTTATGCGCATGTGTCTAAGAGCAGCACAAGTTCTACTTTTTTTCCTTCCACAAAAATAATCTTATAAAATAATCTTATTTTTGTGAAAGAGATTATTTAAGGCCAAAGTTACCCAGTGAGTTTTCATGACCGAGGATGGACTCGAACCGCACAGGAGAAGGTGGTTATTATGATGAAAGTTGATACATCCCATTACAGAATCTAATGGACAATTGCTTTTCTATATTTTTCACATGTTGGATTATTTTGTTTGTGAAATCATGAAATAGAGTAAACTTTATTCCATTCCATTCTTCTTTTGATTTTTGAGGTATTTTTGGTAGAACTCGCATGAAGTTCTGGCATACTTATGCAAAAATCCAAAATGAAACAAACACCTTTTCAATGAACTTTAACAATTTTCTGCCTTTTTTATTCTAAACTTCGACAGTCAGAAGTGGTTGCCTTATTCTGACCCCAGGGTCAGTTCTAGACACTGCTATACCTCAACTATTTTCTGTATCCTTTCTAGCTTCCCAATGTTCTTATGAGAATTGAGCAATGTTAGAACTTTACCTAGAATTCCAAGTTTTTAAAAAAATATTAATGTAAGAAGCACAATGGGAGGAAAAATTACAATCAAACCTAGACTTTGACATCCATGGTTGAAGAATGCATTGCATTTCCAGAGACCTGCTTCTTTTCCTGTACAGTTGAATTAACATATGATAATGCTTGAATTTTGCATTTTTCACTCTTAGAATAATCCTGTGACTATCTTTTCAGCAGTGGCTATAATAAGTAGGCTGTTGCTTGATGGAATTATGGAACAACTGAGGATAAAACAAAATTTAAATAAAAGTGTGTGAATAATAGAAGGTGATAATTTCACCACCTATTTTTAGAAGAAGCTTATTCCAACATTTCTAATAGTAACTATCATTTTAAAGACAGGAATATTTTAGGAAATATTATTCTTGGAACAAAGGCAATGCTTTTAATGTTTACTGATATATATCTGTCCTCCCCTTCCCTTCCTTTCTCTCCCCTTCTCCATTGTTTTTTGAAATCAATGTTGATCCAGTGTTCAACCTCACCAATAATGTGGATGTAGAAGGCACAAGAAAGAAAATGGAAATATACCAGAAAGAAAACAAAGAAGTTATTCATAAAAATAAGATCAAATTGGTAAGTTGTGTACTGCTTGCTTGCGTCATTTTTTTCCTGAATTAATTGAAACAAAGTAATTAATAGCAAAATATTTAAATGCATCTGTTCCATCCACTCATCTATTTTTTTAAATTCCTTTATCTGATGACTTTAGGATATAGGATATAGATATCTGCATTGTCATTTCAACAAACCTCCAGGGAAAATAGAGTAGACTGAGGTGTTCATGACATATAAGGAAAAAACATAAGTATATTTGGTTTCTCTTCTGAGCTTTGCTTAGAATTCTTGAAACGTAGATGTAATCTAATCCTTAATTGAACAAGTAAGGGAGGGGCGTTTTGACGCACTTCTGTTTTTAGTTTTGAATGTTTGAGAATGAGATTTAGCCTATTTCTTAAGGAAATAGGATCTTGGTACCTTTATCTTGTTAGTCTGAAAAGGAAGGCTTGCAAAATAACTTATTAGAACGAAGGATTATACCCTAGCTTTTATTCTTTAAGTGCTATTTTGTTTTGGGAAACGATGATATCAGCTCCCATCTGTGTCAAAATACAAAAAAACTTTATAATATCCTTGATGTCCATAGTCGACTTTTCCTAAGTGTAGATGCTAACTGCTTTTTCAGGTTTTCTGTTGCCCTAGTCCTGTACCTTCAACAAGTTTCAGCTCAGAAGTATTAATTATTATGGTTCTGCTTAGTCTCGAGAACAAGAGGAGCTGGAAGAGGCACTGGAGGTTGAACGGCAGGAGAATGAACAGAGGCGGCTTCTTATACAAAAGGAGGAACAAATGCAACAGATGTTGAAGAGGAAGAATAAACAGGAACTTCTGGATAAGTTGGTGAGTAAAAAGAGACAGGTTTAATAAGCAACTACTTATTACTGATTTCTGAAAGGGACTGATTATGTTTTTCTTTTGTATGGTTTATTCCTTTTTTCCTGCCACCAAAGAATAATACTAAAGGATTAACTCAGAGTTTCCTTTATTATTATTTTTATTTCTTGCAGCTCTTTGCTTACGAAATTCAAGAAACACCTGTGATCTTTTATTTCTTAGACAATCCTATGGAATAGATTAACAGATTAACAAAAACTGAGATTTCAGGACTATATAGGGATTTGAATACAAGTATTTTTTACTCTATACTTGTTGAATGAGCTAGAGTAGAATATCTGATTTCTTCTGAGAACTGGTTCTTCCTTTTCTCTTTTCTCTCTCTTCATAATTAGTTGTCAGTTCATTTTACACACACACACATACACAATTATGGATATATTTTAAACCTAAATTGAAAGGTGGGAGAGTAAGGCAGGAGCCAACTACATCTACAAAAACTATTAAGGAAGCCTAAGCCATCACTCTTATCTCAAAATTGGCAGGGCTGGTGGGTAACCTGGCAGCAGGGAGCATCCTTGGAAAGATAATTCACCAGTCAGTTAGCATGGAAAACTGAGGGGAGCCAAGTGGTTTGCTGATTGCCTCTTTTGTTAGCTAAGGAAGTGGGGGGGGGGGGGCAGGATGAGGAGGGCGAGAAGTTGATGGACATGTATCTAGAGCTGAATTCTTATAAATAGCAGTTTCAAAGCTATAAGGGGAGATGCTTCTCTTTAACTTAAGCAAGCCTGTTGGAAGTAAGGAAGGGGAAATTGCATGCTGGGCCTAGCCTTTATCCCATAGTATATTTTTTTAAGCTATGGATGAATTGTTTCACAGTTTAAAAGAACTAAATGGAGGATGTATTTCTTCTAAACCTCATTTCCCATTCCTCTTCAGTGCTTCTTTATATTAAATATTTCCAAATCAGCTTCAACTTGAAAGAATGTGAAAAAGCAAACAAAAATGGGCTATTCAATGTCTAACAACTCAAGCAGTTATATACAAAACAACAAATGCTTTTGAAGTTTTGCTTGCAGAATAGAGAAAATAGAATCAAACTGTATGCATGAGAGCTGAGGAAAATGGCAGTCATGTTTTGCTTTTCCTTTCTTTGATATAATATCTAAGCGAGAACATATCATTGACTAGCGTCATTATGTTTTCTATTTCTATCAAATGCCCACTCCACATTATCTGCTGAAATCATCAAGTCACAAGTAAATTCCATTAGCTTTTGTAGGAGAGCTAGATATACAACAGTCATTTTGAGTTTAGACTAAGCATTCCAAGAAAAGTTTAGTAACTGATAATAAAAAGGGGGAATAGTACAATTGTTGTAATGGATGAGGATTGTTCATTTGCACTGTGCAATCTGCAACTACCTCTTTGGTTTGACCTACTTTCTCTGCAATATACTGAAAAACTCATTAAGCCATGCCCCAGAGATGGCTGTCCAACCTTCTTTTAAAAATCTCTAGGGAAAGAAGTCACAATCTTCAGAGGTAGTCTGTTCCATTGCTATATAGATCTTATAATCAAGATTTCCCCCCCCCTTTATTTTAAACAAATTTGAAGTACCTGTAACTTATGCCTATTAATTCTTTTTCCATGGTGATGGAAATAGTTCCTGGTCATCTTTCTTGTGGTACTCTTTGATGTATCTGCACATATCTTCTCTTACTCTTTTCTCCATACTGAACCAACCACATTCCATTAACCTGTCTTCATGGGACATGTTCTTAAATGCCTCTATCAATTTTGTTGACCTCCTCTGAGTTGGTTCTAATCTATCAATGTTCTTTTGTCAATGTAGTGACTACAGCTGTACACAGTATTCCATAGTTCATCATTGTACAACCAAGGGAATAAGGATTTATTTATTTAATTAACTTGTAGGACTGCATAATCATCAGTGATTCCAGATGGCATGCAATAACATTTAAAACATCACAAAATGGGTTTGGGAAACCTCCCAGCTTTGTGTTATCTGTAAATTTGATAAGCAGGTATCAATTACATTATCAAAAAATGTTCAATAATATGGCTTCAAGATAGATGCCTGTGGGACCCTAATTACTAGCTTGAAGTAGAGCGATTAATCTTGATTCTCATAGTCTGTTAACGGTTGTCTCTTTAGTGTTGTACCATCTAAACCAGGGGTGTCAAACTTGCAGTGTCATGGCTTCATCACGTGATGTATTGGGACTTTTTTCCCCTTCACTAAACCGGGCGCGGGCGTGGCCAGTGTGTGACGCATCCGGCCCATGGGTTGCAAGTTTGACAGCCCTGATCTAAACCATATTTTAACAACTTGTCAGTAAGAACCTTGCCTAAAGTTTGGAACCTTGCCTGAAGTTTGCTGAAAGTTAGGTAGCTTATATCTACAGCATTCCTCTTGTCCACCAAAATGTTTACTTCGTTAAAGGAGACAATAAGCTTTATTTAATATGACTTTTTTTTTAAACAATATCTTGCTGACTCTTAGATTATCTTCATGATGGTTTCAAATGACCTATTTTATTACTGGCTCTTTTTAGGTATGGATGTTAGGCTCAGTAGGATTATCTATTTTCCCCTTTCTTGAAAAGGAGAGGCTGCATTTGTTATTTTCTTCTTCTTTGGCACCTCCCCAATTCCATAGTTCTCCTCAAGGTTAAACAATAAAGTACCTGACAATGTTCAGCCATTTTTCAGTATTCTAGGGTGTATTACACGAGGACTTGATTCCTCCTGCATTTACCATATTTTACATTTCTTTTAATGTATTTTCATTTCCGTATAAACATACTCATTGTCACATTAATTCATGCCTTTTTTCACATTAATTCCTCACAACAAATGATATACCACCCACTATGTTTCTACCAGTAATTATGCGCTTTAAAATGTCTTCAATGATTTCCTGATCTTTGCACATGTGCAAATGTAGCTGCCATATTGTTATTGTTAATAGGTTTGATTAAGCATTTTTTTTTGGTGAAACCAGTCAATGACTTTGTTTTAATGAAATGACCAACTAAGTCATTTATTAACAAAATTTATCGCAAATATCTAGCAAAGTGATACTCAAAAAAGAATAAAAATACAACATGTACTTATTAAATTTTCAGTAAGTAGTCTTTTGGAGTGTCTATGGAGATTCTCAGTCATCCAGGTCATGATTGTCCCAAAGGTACTTTTTTCAAGAGGCAACTGGACTTTCTGGTTTTTCTTTGAAGAGGTTTCGCTTCTCATCCAAGAAGCTTCTTCAGCTGTGACCGGATCCTTCCATTCCCCACCATCCAGTCAAAACTGAAGAAGCTTCTTGGATGAGAAGTGAAACGTCTTCAAAGAAAAACCAGAAAGTCCAGTTTCCTCTTGACAAAAGCACCTTTGGGATAGTCTTTTGGAGGATCCTTTAGAGCAGCGGTCACCAACCGGTGGGCCACGGCCCACTGGTGGGCCGTGAGAAAATTTTGGTGGGCCGCAGAGAAATCTCACCCCCAGAGCACCCCCACAAAGCAATTAATCCAGGCTGCACAGAAACACAAGGCTGCACCGCCCACATGGCCCGCGGGAACCCTCCCTACCCACTCACTCCTTACCCGGTAAACTTGCCTGCTAAATTTCTGTTTTTCCTTTTTCCGACCATCATCTGTTCTGCTGTGCCGGGAGATTTAGATTAGCTAGGAAGCAGGAAATGCTTTCTAGCTAGTCTTTAGTTCTTCGGCTCAGCACAGCCGAACCTCCCTTAGGACTGAAAGTTTGCTTGCGAGCAAATTCAGTGCAGACTCACGGCAAGCAAATTTGAGAGACTGAGCTAGCCGATGGCAGATAGATAGATCACTGAATGATTCTGTGAGCAACTCAATCTGACTGCTTTGCCTGATCTTGGATAAAAGTTGCTCTTTTTTATAAAACATTCAATATTTACATGCATGGTGTGTTGTAAGATAATTTTGTGAGTTTGCTTGCTAGCAAATTTTATGTGACAGACTGAGCTAGCCAATGGCAGATAGATAGATCTCTGAATGAATCAGTGATTCTGTGAGCAACTCAATCTGCCTGCCTGCTTTGCCTGATTTTGGGTAAAAGTTGTTCTTTTCTTATAAAAAATTCAATATTTATATAAATATTTATAATATTTACATACAAGCCATGCCCAGCCAGTCACATGACCACCAAGCCACACCCATACATTAGGGCACGCCCACAGAACCAGTTAGTGGTCCCTGGGATCTAAAATTATGAGTTTGGTGGTCCCTGAGGTCCAAAAGGTTGGCGACCCCTGTTCTAGAGGAGATCATGAGGGTATGATGGGGAAAGGGAAGATCTGTTTGGTCAAAGCTCTTGTACTTCATCCAGCATCTTGGTCAACCTTTAGGATAGGAAGTTCTACAGTCTTAAGTTGAGAGATGGTGACTAGCTCCACACTCAGCCTGTTCCACACCCAGCCTGCTTTATAACTAAGAGAGGATTTTACTTTACTTCCTCTTCATTGTAGTCTTATACTATAATTAGTATAGTACAGTCTCTTACCACGTTGACCCTCCTAAAGGAGGGTTCCTCCTCCTCCCAGCTAAGTGGAAGAATACTGAACAAGATAATATCTTTGCTCTCATGTGGCAAGGGAAGAACATACAGAGGAAGCATTCCTGAATGTAGATGTACCTTACATATAATCAGACTATGAAGGTCCATTCAAAATAGCTTTATCACTAACAGTTTACTTTTTATAATGGCTTAAGAGAGGAAAAGAAGAGAAAGCTTATAGTGAGTCACCAAAATGTTTCCAACTCAAATTTAAATGCTCTTTTAATTTAGACGAGCTGAACATTACATTCTTATAAAGCAATTGGTTTTACTGGAAATCCATTTTGCCAAATGCTTTGCAAAAAAAGCAGTTATAAATAATCTTTAGAATGTGACCAAAATAGGTAATTGAAAGACTTCTGGGTACACATCGTTACTAAACATATCTATATACATTGTTAATGACTGAAAGGTAAAGTGAAGGGCAGGAGGAAAAAAAGGTTATTGGAAATTACTCTCAATCTTTTTTGTTTAAGGCTCATATCAAAAGTTAATTATTGTGAAGACTAGTATTTTGAAGAATACTCCTGATTCTAAAATATGCTTAAATATTCTAAAATAGTTGTATTAGTATTAAGGATTTTCAATATTCTCAATATTTTCATTCAATAATAGTAATTATAATTTTTTCCTGTTCATACTTGTCCAGTTCTCAGAGATTGCCTGGACAGTCCCTGCAGTTTTCTGGGCAAGGTTTGTCTAAAGTGGTTTGCCATTGCCTGCTTCCTAGGACTAAGGATTGGCCAAGCTGACTTTGTACCCAAGGAGGGACTACAATTTATGTTCTCTTGGTTTCTAATCTGGATGCCTTAACCACTACACCAAATTGCCTCCTAATGTACAGATATCTCTCTATGTCTGCCTGCCTGCCTGCCTGCCTGCCTGCCTGCCTACCTATCCATCCATCCATCCATCCATCCATCCATCCATCCATCCATCCATCTATCCATCCATCCATCTATATTGGTGCTCTTTTGCTGTTAAAGTAGAACTATCCATTACATTAAAAACAACTAGGCATAAGCATATATTTTGATCTATTTTCTGTCTATTATGTGATAAGGAGATCATTTATACGGTTCAAAAATCATAGTAAGCCAACAATTCAATTACAGGAACAGGACATTATGTCTCTTCCCTCATCTCTCAGGAATTACAGCAAGTGAATCAACCAATCCTTTCACATTACAAAATGTGTGATATGCACTGCACAGTTTGTGAAACAAATACCAATTAGAATACCAACTGGAAAATATTTTGAAAAAATGCTTCATTTGAAATAGGGGTAAGCCCCTGTTCATGTTATTCTAAATGTTTTATGGTAAGTGGATTCAGGTTCCAATTCTGTTTCAGTAAGCTGGAATCTGTATTCAATTGCTCCAATTTCTTAAGGAAAAGAGAATCTGAAACACTAAAAGTAGAATTAAAGTGGAAATATGGAATGTTAGAAGCCTAAACATTGGAAAGCTCAAAATAGTGAAAGGAATTGACTGCCCATTGACATCTTAAGCAACAGTTAATTGAAATGGATGGCAATTGGACACAATTACTCAGAAAACAAACATTTTACTATTCAGGAACAAAAAATAAAGATGGAACTATGGTGCTTTCATAGTTAAGAAAGATATAACAACAGCAATGCTTAGCTACAGTGCAATAATACTCTCTGGATTTTGTAGGCACCCCTTTAATATACAATTTATGTTCCATTCACTGATGCAGAATAAGTGCTTGACAAGTTTTATGGTCAAGTTTAATCTGAGATTGATGCAATATGCAAGCAGGATGTGCTACTTGTGGTTGGAGACAAGATTAGCAAAATTGGAAATAGTAAGAACAAAGTAATTGTGCTGTGTGATTTAAGAAACAAAAATAAAGCATGAGAATGGTTTAGCAGTTCCTGCCAATCCAGTGATTTTTTTTCATTGCTAACACAGTCTTCAGATAACCAAAACACCACCTATATAAATAAACATCACCAGGTAGAGTACATAGAAAACAAATTGACTATATTATTTACACAAGGAGGTGGAAGAGCTCAATTATAACAGCAAAGATGTGCCCAGAGGCTGACTGCAGAATAGACCATAAGCTATTCATAGGCAAGTTATTAAGCTAAAGTGGAAAAAGAATACCAACTACCTTCTATGACATGATTTTGAGCTTATGTCCACCATTTTCAAAGAAAATTTCAGGAAACATTTTGAAGTCTTGAAATTAATTCATAGGAAATCAGAGGAAACACTGAATGAAATTTTATTTGCTAGTCTGGATGATATTATTATGCTAATTTTTAAGTAAGTCTTGAACAACTCTTACTATCCATTTGAATAAATGGGCTCATTGTTTTGTATTAAAGAAATTGTCTTGTTTTTATGCAGATAAATTATTGAAGGAGAAAATAATTCTGTAATAAAGAACAATTCTCATTGTGTGAGAGGGCTGAGAATAACTTTAAAACAGCCTCAGATAAAATCCAGTGAGGAACCAATCTGAAACTGAACACAAGTTTTGGACCCAGCTTAAATGACTCTGTGCTGCTTCTTTTTAGAATTGTTAATTCTAATTATTATGACTTTAAAAGTGATATTAATTACATGGTTATGCAATTATTAGAATAATGTTCATATTTTAATTCATTTGTCTTTCTGGTTATTTTATTACATTTTTGTTAATGCAGAATCTATAAAAATATATCTTTGTAAGTCTTTTTTTTAAATTTGTGAGTCTAATGTAACTTCCTCCTATTAGTAAAAAATGACCATTTTCTGGTAAACTGGGAGTATTGAATGCTGTTCTTTTGGAAATAGCCAAAGAAAGCCATTTTTGAGAAAGATGCAATTTGTTATTCTGGGAATGCATGACAGCAATGGTGGATAGTTTATGGCTTTTAAATATTTTACTCTTATGTTTTTAATTTTGATTGTAGGAAAGTTCTCATCTGCCAGCTTCTTTGTTATTAGCCCAGCATAAAGATCGGTCTACGCAGCTAGAAATGCAACTGGAGATTCCCAAACCTATCAAACCAGTGGCATTTTCAACAGGCATCAAAATGGTAAGATATAAACAACTTTCTGTGTGTATAAGAAAGAATTATTTTTTCCTTTTCACAGTCTAACCTTTCCAATCTGAGTTTGGAACAATAAATTAAATTCTAGATTCACTGTAGCACTGAAGTTGTGATTAGGTAGAGATAAAGAAAACAGAATGATATATTAGTTGGTTTCAAAACCTTGTTATATTTTCAGTTCACAAATGTACAGTAGATTATATCACACATAAGAAAGCACAGCCGATTGGCAGTGGATCTGATGTTCAAAATTGCATGCTGGCAGTCTTTTCTCGATTTTAAAACCACACAAATGAATGCAACCTATTATGCTGGATATGGATAATTGTTTGCTCCAGATATATATGTTCTGCATTAGGGCTTGGCATATTTTGAAAACAATTAGAAAAATTATTTTGGATCTTGTGCAAATGTGTATATAATACCTCATTTGTTGAAGAAGCTTTTTCAGGGTTTGGCATGAAATTAAAAAAAGACTTGCAGCTTTAAGAATCACATTAATTTTGGTGAGTCAACAACCTTAAAACAGTTGCAATTGAAAAGACAGAAAAAAACTTGGGCTTGCATAACAAGTGAAGTGTTACTTTGGAATCATTTTCGAAGGATTGACAGTCCTATTCTTTAGGAAATATGGATGATAATAGTGTGAAATAGCTCTAAAAGAGTCTCTCCAAAGTTCATCTAGATTTGGCATATGTTTATTTTCTCATTAAAAATGACAGTTCCTTGGCTGTGCTACAGATTGTATGTACTCTTTTCTTATGAACAATCAGCATTCATTCTTGACTGGGTTTGGACATAGCATTAATCTTTGATATAACTAGGAAGAAATAATACTTTTTGCTTCTATTGTCAATTAATCTTGATTATATGGATATGCAGACATATACTTAATCTTGAAGTGGTTTAGGGCATTTCTCCAACCTAGTGATCTCCAGTTGCACTGGATTGCAACTCTTTGCTGGTAAATAGTTATAGCTCTTATGCTTAGGAAAAGCTGATATAAATCAGCTTGGGAAAAGCTGATTTAAAGAGGAAAGCCATATTAAGGAACAAAATGCTAAAATTGAGTTTTTCCTTAAGGTAGAAATAGGTGATTTAGTTTTGTATATATATTTTGAACTTCAGGTCCCACCAGCCTCAGTTATCTTGGTCTAAATAAAATTTAACCCTGCCCTAAACTATTGTAAAGACAAACCAGAAATTATCTGGATATATCAAAGCACAGGTAGTTAAAAATGGAAGTAAAAGTAACAACATTGGTGCACTTATATCATACAATATGTTGGTAAATGTTTTTTTTTATATACAAAGAATCACTGAACGTTCTTGGGGAAAAGAGTAGGTTCTTGCTAGCAGGATGATTTGTTTTGAAAGGTTTATTTAAAGACAGAACTTTTATTTGGTAGTATTTATTTCTCTTGAAGTATGACAGTGATGATAACCGTGCAGTTTTCTCAGTTTTATTTTGCAGAGGTTATCATAAAAGTCAAGATAACATCTGTCTGCCCCTTAGGGTGAGGCTGCCATTACATGATTGCAACTGCCATCCTGACTCTGTTAATATCTCTTGACATCTTTGAACTGAGTACTTTTTTAAACATATTTTTTCATATTTACATTTCTCTTTTTGTGATCTTTCTGTTGAGTACCAAGGAAAGATAGAACAGGAAAAATGGTTGACTAGGCCCAGAATTTGTTTTCACTTGTCTTAGGTCAATTAGTATAACTCTATTATTGCTAATTGCATTTATATCCTGCCTTTCTCAGAGAGATCATGGTAATTTACATGAGAGGGGAGGTAGATAGGTCTTCCTTGATTTTATCCCCACAATAGCTTGGTGAGGTAGGCTGGGCTGAAAGAAAATAACTGGATCAAAGGCTGATACTTAAGCATCTCACTACACTGGCTTTCTTTTAATAAATAAGGTACTACGGTACTATGCATAAATAGATTTGAGCTGTGTGCTGAAAAGTAGGCTTTGTCATTGGATTAATGATGGAAGGATGGTAGTCAACCTTGAGCCTGGTGAGATTCAAACTGCCAAATTGCAGGTAGCTGGCAGTCAGCGGAAGTAGTCTTTAGTACTGCATCCTAATCACTGCCCTATTGTAGCTCATTATTTTAGCTTTCATCGTTTCCCTTTCTGAGGGCAGCAGTACTGGACCTCAGAAAGTGGGAGCTCCCTATAAGCAAGGACAGGCCCTAGTTTCCCCACATGTCATTCCTTAACTCTTTATGCTAGATATAGCTTAGCTATATTAATTAGCTAACATTTTTTTTAAAAAAAATGGTGATGTGTTTAGTTGTAAAAAAAAATATTGTCACTTCTTTCTTGCAGCATGTTCTTCTGTCATCATATTTTCCCTTCTTGGAATCACTGCCCATCTTGTGGAGAAATATATTGATGGCCACTTTAGGTGTGTGGCTGCCATGAGCTTGGCCAATACCCAGCCATACCACTGCCACTCCAGTGTCCAACCAACTCCCTCCCTCCTGTTGTTAGGACTTAGGAGGGACTGAGATTTCTGTTGTTCTGCCAGTCTGGACCTCTTGCCATTCTCCAAATAAAGGGTAGGGATGCGGCTGAAATTGCCACTAGGGACCTGGCTGCAGTGGGTCTGATATTTCTCTATTCCCATCTTATCTGCTGCCTCTTATTTCTGTTGAAGAAAAGAATTCAAGGGAGAGATGGGTATTTAACACCTCATTTTATAGAAACCAATTTCTGTGGTAATCTAGCTGGTTGCGGGGGTGGGTGGGGTGGGGGGAGAATGTGAGGTTGCATTGTGTCCACAAATTGCTTACATAATTCCTATTCTTTCTCCGTATTTTGGTAAAAGGAGTACTTTAAACCTCTCTGAACAGTACTTTGCGGTTTTGCTCCGCATTTGGAAGGCTGCCCACTGGGTGGTCGAATGCATCAAGAAAGACACCAACACAGGTTCTATCTTGGGTGAGCTGCCCCGATCAGGGTTTGGGGAACTCCTTTTATTGGGAACACACAAAGGGGGTGAGTTTATCCAATCATTATGTTACATGCGTAGGAATGTTAGTGGATGCATCGCATCTTCCAATAACCATGCCATGGTAAATTTAAACTAGCAAACCAAGCTGCATTCCAGTTAACTGCCCTTGTGACGTGTTTTATGGTCTTGTTCCTGGTGTCTGTTTTCAGCCTACGTGAGACCTAGCATGCACCGGAACCATTGAGGTTGCTCACGTGAGGCTTGGCACACAATGGATTTGGCCCATTACAGCATCTCCTCTGTTTTAGTTTTATATGGAGGAATTTCTTCTGGATCTTCATCACTACCCATGCAAAAACTTGTGCGAGCGCACGCATCAGGGTCTTCTGAGGGTATGACTTTGTACAGAGGTTCTTTTTCCCAGAGGGCATTAACCTGTGCAATGGCACGCTTTTCAGCTAATAAAGACAGACTATTGGAGATGGTACGAACAAATATTGGTAATACACATGGAAGAATAACGCATCCTGCAGCAATCATACCTATGAGAGCTACTATGGCTTGTAATCCTGGTAGTTTAGGGAACCAAGAACTAAAAATATTCTTAAAATCAATACCTTGCCATACTTGATTAGGATTGTAGGTTAATTGTCGCATCTCAGTTGTTAATTGTGCTACTACTTTGCCAACTTTGTCAATTTGAAGACAACAGTTCGTAAGATTGAACCTACCACATACCCCTCCTTCTTTGGCTAGTATGTAGTCTAAAGCTAAACGATTTTGGTAGACAGCTGTGCGTAATTTGTCCGTAGCAGTTGCTAGAGTGTTTAGAGCCTTGTCTATACGTTGTCCTGCTAAATCTAAAACAGCTTGTAAACGCATAATTCTATTAATCATGTATATGGGGGTTCTGTACCCCCAGGAGCCATCTTGGGCCCAACTAGCAATGCTGAAGGTGCAGACGATTCTTTCTGAGGTCCAGGTGTCCCCTTCATATTCTGATTGACAGGGGAAACCTGCAAAGGTATTATCGGTGTCTCTTTTCTTGTGGGATAATGTATCATACACAGGGATGCCCAGTTCTTGCTTGATGGAGATCGGTAGGAGGAAAAAGGAAGGTCTTATCCACCCCAATACACATGACCCTTGCCAATCTGCTGGAAGGGACGGATAGGCTAGGTTACCACAAATCCAATACATGTTATTTGGAGCTGTCCAAATTTGAGAGGATGTTGTGTCATAGAGATAAGGTAGGAGGGAAGTGTTGAATTTGGCAGGTGTGGTGGTAGCATTGTCAGGTGCTGTCCAAGTCTGGTAGGAGTTATCCCATGTACCTAAGCAAAGGAGGTGTCCTACTGGAGTGGATCCATTTCGGGAAAAACAGTTTCTACCGATTAAGTTAGTGGTAATTGTCCAGATAAGTGGATCGGAAGCTATTCTAGCTGTTATGTTTCCTACAGAAGACATGTTATTAAACAGAGATGGCGAGGCTTCTAAGGCTTGCCATGGCCATTGTTCTCCTGTGGTAGTTCCCCCACAGACAAAACAATTGGTTACTGCAAGTTGTTTTGCAATTTTTTCTGCCATATCCATGAACAAGTTTTTTGCAATAATGCTGGTATCAGGGGCTTTTTCTAATTTCCTTAAATTATTATATACTGACCAGCCTAATGATGTTTCCTCGCCTTCATAAATTATTTCAGTTTTTATGGTAATGTAAGTATTTGGGTCTATTCCTGTGCCATCAATCCCTATACCATAAGTTTCCAAGGCAGGGTGTTGCCTGGAGATAGTGATTTCTACCTTATTGTCTGTGGTAGACCCTGATATTCGTTTGAAATGTGACAGATGATTGCAACCTGAGTACCCTCCCCCGGTATAATCACAGACACAAGACCAACCCGAGCACTCAACGGAACCTCCACAAGGGGTCCAGTGGTTGGGGTTCCCCATGGCCCAGTTAATGGGTGTATGACACAAGTATTTATGATTGTGGGCGTACGTTGATTTCCAGT